ATGCTTGGGTGAGCCCACTAGCTCATGGAATAGTATAAGCCCAACAGCCCAGATTGAATCTGGGCCGATCTGACGAACACGAATGTCTGATAGTGTTTGAATTTTAATTTTTTTTTTACAAATCCAAATCACTTGAAATTTTGGGCGTGTGTTCTTCTCATCAAGCCGCACCTAATAAAAATATAAAAAAAATAATTTGCAAAAAAACAATTGACCAAAATACCCCGGAAATGTTTTGGGGGTATTTTGGTCAATTTATTACTAGTAAAATATTTTTTGATATTTTTCGAAGATTCACCTATTTTTGATGTACACACATTCCAAATTTCAATTGATTGAGATTTGTAGAAAAAAAATTAAAGTTCAAACACTACCAGACATCTGTGATCGTCAGATCAGCCCAGATTCAATCTGAGCTGTTGGGCTCATTTTTCGTGTGAGCTAGTGAGCTCACCCTAGCATCTTCCTATATATATATATATATATATATATATATATATCTAAGATCAGTTGAGCAAGTTCTAGTGCAATTTGTCTTTGTTGAGAGTATTCACTTATATTGCTTAAATTTAAAAGGTTCAACAATGGGGTGCCCTTTATTGGGACCTTTAAGCAACCCTAAAAGGGGCACAAAAAACTGTACAGCTTAAGAAACAAAGAAGAAGGGAGAAAACAACTGAAAAGCTTAAGAGCCAAAATTTTGTTGGGCTCCCTCCTTCACCAATGTGTCAGCTTCAGAGTTGGCTTCCCTATAGACATGTGACCACGATACTCTCAGGCCCCCACCAATATGAGAGATTTCATAAAAGATTTGATCCAGTCACCACGGGCATGGAGTAACTTTAGAAGCCAATCAATGGTATTTTTGGAGTCTCCTTCCACAATTAATTCGGAACTCCAGCAAGGATTAAACTTGCAAAGGCCATCCAATAGGGCAAGGGCCTTAGCAAGAGTCGAGTCCACTAGACCAATAGGAAGGGGAAAGGACAAGTTCTAGTGCACTTTGTCTAAGGTAAATAATATAATGCGACAATCGAAGCCGAAACGCAATCAATTGATTATGGACTAAAATGCTCCCTTTGTGAACATTTTATCTATATTACATGCTACTATATTTGATTATGATTTTCTTTGACTTACTTTTGTTTCCAGGATCCAGGCTGGGTTGTAATATATAAAGAATACATGTGCACAAGATTGTGGATAATCATCACTATGGAGCATCTCGGAGAAGACATGCTGCATAGTTTTGTTGTCATTTCCTCCACCTTTCAAGATTGATTTCACCTTATCATTAATCACATTTTATTCACTAGATGCTACTGTGTTTAAAGAAACTAATATTATTCCACAGTGTTCAGCACACTTCAGAAGCAACATGCATATGTGGGAAATCCACAAATATAGTGAGAAGGAGCATGCTTAGGCCATATTTTATGAGCTAGTTCAGAAAAGAAATATGATTCAATTAAACTTCCAGCCTGCATGTTGCAATGCACTGTTCCATCTATTAGCAGTGTCCTTCGGTATTGATGCATGTCTTTATAAATCTTTCTAGTCAAACAGGAGCGCCCTATACTGTATGTGTATCTAGATTCTTGATAAAAATTGCAAAATGAAGAAATTTACAGTTAATTGTCTCTGTTAACTGTATATTTTCATTATGTCTAAACATAATTAGCTGTATTCTAATGGTGTCAGATCCCACCAAGGACCAAGCAAAACCATAAGTATTTAGTCCCATGACACTAAGACTTGGATATTGTCTTGTCTGGTCATTAAATTATTTGTGACAAAGGAGAAAGAAAAACTGAACAAATCTGATGATTTAAAACATAATTGAAGTTCATTGTTTCAACACATTCTTTTCTCTTAGCACTCTTTTCTCCTATTATTTGTTGAGATCAGTCGCAACTTACTAGAACATATAGGGTTCAAAATATTGAGTGCTCATTAGGTGTTTCTTATGCATTAAATATATATTGGTGTATGTGCTGATCCTTGAGTATTGATTAGGCTATGTTGAATTTCTTCTACTTTTGCTGGGCTTCTCACTGGTTACTATTCATTGCTTTAGTTTTCATGTCTAGACATTCGAATATGCTTTTGGCACCGGTCAGGGCCATTGGGGCCTGGTTTTCTTGGTGAGAGAAAAACCCTCTCTTAAACAACCGCGAACGTGTTTTAAGCGTACACTTGTACTCTTCTTTATGCGGATAGGAACCAACAACAAGAGAGTTTTTTCGACGAGGATGTGTTTTGGGCGCTTACCTCGTCGTTTGCAGGTTCGGGGATACACCCGGGCAGTAACCCTCTTAGAACAATCACGAAGGCGTTCGGATGTCTGCCACCACGGTTTGGACATGAACTCTCCCTCAAACTTTAATGCGTCGTCTTGTTCTTTTACTCCAGGCCTTGCAATGTGCACTCAAAAATACCCCTCTGTAATGGTTCACTCGAACAAGAATTGGCTGGCAAATGAAGGATAAAAGGAGAGGGATGATAGATGTCCCTCTATTTGCGCAAACGCTACAAAACTTGACGATCGGAGCGACTAGAGAGTCCAAACTCTCTCGATTACCTATGCAGGATGACTCCATCCGAGTGAGCGAGGGCAAGAGCGTGTATATCTCTTGCGACTCGATTCCACTGTATGGAGAGGAAGTTAGAGCGGTGATCTGAGTGTTGAGACTCTTGAGGCTACTCTGGGAGGTGTCAAATTGAGCGTGTGATGAATATCGGGATGAAGGGAGAAAGGCGTTGAGAGAGAGAGACGGGGTCGTAGGTATTGTGGCTCCGAAACTTTCATGCGACGAAAGAGAGAAAGGCATAAAGAGAAAGATGGGACCGCAGGTCTGCTGCGGTTCCGAGTTACTATGCAAGGCAAAGAGAGAGAGAGAGACACTGAGAGAGAGACGAGGTCGTAGGTACTGCGACTTCGAAACTTATCATGCGATTAAAGTGAGAAAGGCATAGAGAGAAGGACGGGACCGCAGATTTGCTGCGGTTCCGAATTACTATGCGAGGCAAAGAGAGAGAGACGCGAAAAGAGAGTCGGGGTTGCAGGTGTTACGACTCCGAAACTTATTACGCGATGAAAGTGAGAAAGGCGTAGAGAGAAAGACGGGAGCGTAGGTCTGTTGCGGTTTCGAATTACTACGTGAGGCAGAAGAGAGAGAGATGAGGAAAGAGAGATGGGGTTGCAGGTGCTGCGGCTCCAAAACTTATCACACGATGAAAGCGAGAAAAGCGTAGAGTGAAAGATGGGACCGTAGATCTGCTGCGAATCACAGTTGGTGCGTTTAGACCATGGGGTAGGCTAGGGTGCTTGGGCTAAAGCCAACTTCTCTCTCTAAAATTTTTCTCTCTCCTCTCCACTAGATCCAAGAATTAGAAGCAAAGTCGAGTAAACACAAGCTAATGCCTCAATTTCATTAACGAATAATCCAACCTTTTTACGATTGACCTAAGATTGTTTATATAGAGCAACCCCCAAACATGGGTAGAACACTCAAAACACAGCTAAATTGCTGAAAATTGTACATTAAATGAATTAAAATAAAATCCCATTTTCGGACCAAAGGACCAAAATACCCCTTAAATCTTTTGGGCTAATGACGAAACCATCCCTGTTCGAGGGGTCTCTTGCCATTGCTAGACTTCGGGAGCCTTTTCGGACTCTTGTGGCAGTGGTTGGGACGATCTATTGTTGTAGAATTGATGCTAGATTGTTTCTGAACATTTTGATGTCCTTTGATCGCCTTGAAACAAACTTTTCCCGAAGGGTGAAAATCTGGTCAAGTCCATAGCTTTTAATCGCCAATGTAGTGCGATCCGTGGTGTTCCAAATCCTTTTTTTGATCTTGATTTGAAGAGGACATTGTCATGATCATTTTGCACTAAGTTTTGTCCGATTTGATATTCATTCGAGTACATTCCAAATCTGGGAAGTCACCGGAAAATGGGATTCTGGCGACCGAGAAATTCTTGTCATCGTCAACCTTGAAATTCGCACTATCCGGCCTTCAGGTGAAGACAAATTTCATACCAAACTGTACCTCTTCTCGATATGGTCGCAACGGACCCATTTTTGCATCAATCCGATGCACGAATCTCAGGTTATGTCCTCTCGAAGTACTAGAGTCCTCTTTCAAATATTCTGATTTTCATGCTTTTGGCCCCACGTTCTTTCTAGAAGTTCTCTCGTCTCAGACCACGCCATGACACGTGCCATATGTCAAAATGATTGGGCCGTCGAGGTCTAGCTCGTGACCGATTTTGAGCTTGTTTTGATTCCAAATGAGCGAGCTATGAGCACTTGAAAATTGTCTTGAGGGTTGAAAACACAGTTTCCAGATATGGCAACTGGTTCACTGAGGCCGCACCACAACAGTATGAAACCCCTACCTGTTTGTGGTAATTTAGGCCTAGAATGGTCCTCAAAGGTCCGATTGAGACCAAATTTGGTCATTGGGGGTTTTTCGACACTCTGGATTTGATGGCGTCCGTCTGGTAATTTTTTGAAGCCCAGAAAATAGGGCTGTAGTTATAAGGTATCTTTTCAGCATGATAAGAACTGGATTTGAGAATTGAGTTTCACTCTGATCATGTCAAATCTCATCGGAACGTAACGAAACTTTGTAAGCGTCCTTTGGGCATCCCAAACTACCATTTTCATGCTTTCTGAGGCCATTCCAGTGTTCTTTTCAAGGTTGCTCACTTTTAGGCTTATTTTGTAGTGATCCCATGGTTTGGCAGTACCTTGGGTACCAACAGGACGATGTTGTAACTAACTCTCTTCTTATGCGACTTGGGAATACAAATATGTCAAAACTGACATATAACACGAACCTTCAAAATATCATTACTCTGATAACAATAACATAGCTTTGAGACATAGAATATCTTGTAAACTCTTGTAGCCCTAGATAATCATAGCTGTTACCGCCTGGATGCCTTCATGAGTAATTTGGTGCTCTCATGTTTTGTGGTTTATGCAGCTCCCTTTTATCCGGCACTTGTCATTGCAATATGATTCTAGGAACGCTCGCCAAAGAAGTACCCTCACCATCAATGATCAAAATGGGTAAGCCATCATCGGAGATAAATAATACCTTTTGTTTGACTAGTCAATGAATATGTTTCTTGATTGACATAGAATCTCTTTTGCTGATTACAGGCCCTTGACTGGTTCAGACCCTGAAGTTGAAGAAAAAGAAAGACGAAAGAATGGTGATGGTGGTAATGCAGATCATATGAATCATGATGCTGATTATTATGAGGATGACATGATGGGACATGCTGAGTTTAAGTTGGCCCACTTCCTGAAAGGATGGCTTTCCTATTCTAAGCTTTGGTCTGTGGGTAGGACGAGATTGAATGACAGGTATCGACCTTCTAGATTTTGAGCATTCATTGAAGTTGATTTAGCCAGCAGCCAAATGCATATGAGTTTTGGACAGAAGGATGGTTATTTTGGCCAAATTACAAAAGAAATATCGGTGTAGAGATATTTGTGAACTCCCATTTGATTAATTGTCGAGATTTGGGCAAAATGGGTTGCGTCGTTGGGGGTGGGCAGGTTGGTATGGGGTTGGTCACATTACATTCAAGTTGGAACACCTTGGTACCTATTGTTTGATAATTTACATACATTGTTTAGTGGGAACCAATATGCTTTCTTCGAAGGATGGTTGAAGCATCTTTCATTTCTCATATCAATGTCCATCTGCAGCATTTCTTGGCTGTTGACTGGTTTGTTTGGTGTTTATTTGCTTTATATTCCATATTGTGATTCAGCACGCGATGCGTGGAGTCAATTGGATTGAGGAGAGGTTGGTTAAGTATCTTTCCAAGAGAATACCTTGGTGTCTGCCTTTTGAAGGTGAGAGTAGGCATTCAGGAGACGAGGCCTCCAGTTTTATCCTCCTTTTGAGAAAGTATCCGATTTCCTACATCGTGGAGGTAGTGACCCATTTCTTTTTTATTTTTTGGTGGGCAAGCTCTGGGGTTTTGGTTGCATCACATGAAAAACAACATTTCATATTCTAGGTTTCAATCTGACTACTCCCATGCTTTCATGACTAAATGTCAAAAATGTTGTAATATATCTAGTTGTATCCAAGATCGCAGGTGTGGAGGTTTATTATGTTTGAAAAGTTCAAAGGTGTAATCTTGTTCCCTAGGAGTTGTAGATGATGAAATAATCAACCTTGAAACAGCTGCATTAGGGAGTTCTAAAAGAAAGATGGGTAGTTTCTCTCTGTCCTTTTTTACATAAAGGAGCTATTTGAAGTTGGGAAAGTATGTCATAGAATACTCAGAAAAGTCAAAGTAAATCATGCACAACTGCTGTGGTGTATGGTACATAATTAAGGCACCAAGTATCCGTTCTGGATAACCAGACATTCAAAACATGGGAAAATTTTGGTGGTTGGAGGTTTTGGTTAATCTCTACCGTTTATTGTTTTGAATCCACCATTTGTTCTTAAGAATATCGGAGGATGCCCTGGTTGTGTACATATTCCGTCCACAAGCTATAAATTTAGGATTTCCCCCAGAAAACATCACTTATGTTCCAATCCAACATTTAGATTTGACTCTTCTTTTAAAATAGGAAAGTTATCAAATGCTCATGTGAGATGAACTATAACCACAATTTCAAAATACCAACAAAAGGACACATGATCATGAGTTCGCAGTGTTAAAGGTATAATGCTAAACATTCATCGCTCATAGGTATTTTTATAAATTTCCCTTTTAAAATAGCTGCTAATCTTTACACCTTTGTATATGGGATTTCTACTGAAAAGCATAGACGATAATGGTGTTTTAAATGTTGGTTTGACCCTCCATCATTCTGATCTCGATCAGCAATTCCAATCTAGATCAGCTAAATCTTCTGAATGAAAATTATTAAAATACTAGTATAAAAAATACTATAAAATTAAAGCTCAAGTCACTCACCAGGTTTGCCCAATATGAGTCGGTGACTCTCGATTCACAAAGCCTAATATTGTAAGAGAACATGGTGATTCGGTTCAAATCGAACTGCTTCCCAATTCCACAAGGGAATAACTGGCGCGCCTATTAGTTTTGATCCAAATCAGTGATTTCCAATCCAGATCGACCATATTTACAACCCTAAATGGCAATAAAGGCACTTTGATAATCTCTTGCATGTTCTATATGTTGTATGGTGAAGCCTTGTTCTCATTACTAGACGTTTTTCTTATTTTTATGAGTTTCCTATTTTTTTGGTGGAATATTGCTTCAGGAAACTCTTGTGTTCGAGTCCTATTTTGTGGGAAACTTAATTCTATAGGTGAGGGAAATTCATCAAATTGGAAAAAGAGAGAGATAGATGGGGCTTCATGTGGGTTTCATCTAGGCTCTTGTTTTTTTTAAAGAGGTATTCGTGATCGGAGAAAATTAATAGATGCAAACTACAGAGACGGGTGAGTTTTCTTTCATCAATGGGTAGGTATTATAATGAGAAAAACCTGTTTTAGGGCTGGTGAGAGAGAGAGAGCTTTGTAAAACCTTGTATCCTTCGTGCATGCATGATATTATTTTTATAAAGCTAAGTGAACTTTGCGGACCCTGGATGTAAGCAATTGCCGAACTTCATAAATATTAGTGTTTGCTCTTTTGATTTTCTGCAATATTTTTCCTTCCATTTATTTTTGCCTAAACAACAATTTGTATTTTTTACAATTTGTATCAAAACCTTAGGGTTTGAGATCTTTACGGGCATGAGGTTTGTGGTAGATCGAAGATCTTCAAATATGACTGAAGGAAATTGATCCAAAATAGAAAATTCTAAAATTTGACGGTTTAGATTTCTCAACCTAAAAGTTAAAAGTACAAGTTAAAAGTACTTACGATGTTGCTCAAAGAAGACTATGTAGTGGTTTTTAATGGCAAAGAAATAAAACATGCAAGAATAGATAACGAGGAATTTAATGAGAATGATAAGTTGGCCGAGGCATATATTCTTTTGGCCTAAAATCCATATTAATCACTGTTTATATAGAAAATAGGATAAAAATTTTAGAGAAAGACTGAAAAATAAGTCTTTTCCTAAAAAAACGTGGAAAAATATCTCTATACACCCAAAAATAGGAAATAGTATCTTAGTATCCCCTCTAATGTTTAAAATCTTGCAGCATAAATTTATCATAAAAGGTTTCTTCAAACTCCTTAAAGCATTCTACCTCACTTTTTTTTGTTTTTAAGTATTATAGATTGCGTTAGAATTTTTTTTTAATCCCATTCCAACCTACCTCTTCATCCCAGGTCCTCTGTCTCTTCTCTCATCTCCCCTCCCTCCCTCTCTCTCCTCTCTCCCCTTTCCCCGCTAAGCTCTCTCCCCCCCCAACCTTTCTCTCTCATGCCTTCCCTCCCCCAACCCCCTATGTTTTTAATTTCTCTCTCTCTAACCCAAGAGCTAAGGGGAAGGGCCCTCATGGGTCTCACTAGTTTCAAAGTCTCTATTTAGGAGTAGCTTTGAAGCCCTAGGCATCCCACCGTGGATTTTATCCACTGGCTTCATTCGTCAATTGAAATTTAAGTTTCTCATTTTTTTTTTTTTCTGCCACTTAGGTATTCTATTTATTCATTCCAGGTACCACCTCCCGCCCCCCCCCCCCTCCTCTCTCTCTCTCTCTCTCTCTCTCTCTCTCTC